CCAGAGACAGAGGGGTGCAGAACAGGCAGATCAATGAAGTAACGCTGCTCCACAGCGGGCAGTTCAGGAGAAGTGTGCCGTGCCATTTGGATTACCTCTGGGGCAGGCGGGGATCAAACTCATGCTAAAGTGGTCTTAGCCTGTCAGTGCTGTGCTTTAACCCATTGCGCCACCAGGGAGGGCACAGATGAACGCAGTTTATTAGTATACATTTAATAGCAATGTGAACAGATGAGATTTGCCAAGTTTTCTCAGTTTCTTTGACAAACTTGAAAAATAAAATACCAAGCAATCTAAGAAATTTAAGTCCTTGGTTTTTAAATTAGTAAATAAAGCAATCAATTGTACAGTTTTTCGTAATTTCCTTTAAAGTAAATGTGCAGAAAGTGTGAACTTTTCTGATAAGTTATGAATGCATAAAAAGATAGCATTTCTTGGGAAGTCTCCCAGTGTGCAAAAGGAAGTTACTAAAAAGGATAAAGAACTTCCCTCTTGTTCCTTCTTGCAGTCCCACTAAACAAATAGTAAAGAACATTTTTAAAGGCATAAGCCTATAGAGACCAAAAACTAAAATATTAGAAGTGACAGTTTTTCAAAAGTTCTTGGTAAAAGTACACAAAACAAAGAAATATAGCTCATTATTACAAAGTAATATTCAAATAATCACCACTCAGATGAAGAAAGAGAGACTGGCCAACATCAGAAGTCTCCTCAGGACCCCTTCCAAATCTTCACCCCTCCTTCCTTTCCTAGAGGTAACTACCATCTTTGTGATAAGCATTTCCTTGACTTTCTATGTAGTTTACTACTTAGCATGCATCTCTAAAATTACTTGGTTTTCCCCTATTTTTGGGCTTTATATAAATGAAGCCATATAGCATGTATTGTTAAATATTTACACAAAAATAGGTGTTAAACATGTCTATGTATATACACACATGTACCCTGTTCTGGCTGTCCACTTCCCTCATTAGTTGTCTGTGGTGTAGAGAAGGAAGTTCATAGCCTTCCTTTTTCTTCTACATTTCCAAGTTAGGTCTCTTTAACATTTGGTTTTTTTTAATCACATGGAGGAAAATCAGGTTTTTTTTGTACTCCTCTCTTGAGGATTTGATGTATGACACAGACAGTCAACACTGATGCTTATTTGCCAATGCCACTTTTCATTCTCTTACTACCTTCCAGCAACAGAGTCCAGGCCATTGGTCTTGCATTCAAGAATTAGTCCCCTTTTTGGCTCTACCTGTCATTTTTTGTAGAAAAGGTCCTATGTGGGTAGTTTGGACTACTTATGAATTGACTGTACCTGTAAGGTGAGGCTAGAAAAGTGGAAATAATTGGAGTTTAATTATAATAACTCTTCTTTCTCTTATTAGAATAATTAATCCTGAAGGCAGAAGAGGTGACAGGTCCCTGCTTCACTTCCTATTGCAGTGGGAATAATAATCCCTGTCTGTTGCCTCTGTGGGGGACATGCTCACTACTTTCTTCCTCACCGCACACACGAATACATCAGCTGCCCTATCTGAATTTCCAGAGCTAGCTGAAGTTTCAGCTTTCTGGACACCCCAGGCAGAAGTACATACTTTCAAGCACCTACCACAGTGCCTTATCATAAGCAGTAGAACAGATCTCCCTTTCTTGCTGGGATACTGTGGTCACCCAAGAGAACAGTCATGTCTTCATTTTTTTGGTATGTCTTGTACTTAGCTCAATGCCTGGCCCACAGTAGGTGTCAATATTTATTATTCAGATATCCGAATAATAAATATTGATAGGTATCTGAATAATAAATATTGATAGGCTATACATACCATTTCAACCATCTGCTGCTCTTAGTCCTTGTTTAGCTGTTTAGAAAGCTTTTGAGCAGCAGGTAGCCCTGGTTCTACAGTTGAACTGAGGAAGGATAAAAAGAACAGCTTTTTATCCTAAGTTTCTCATTATTCTTTCCTATTTTTTATCTCATTGTATACTCATCAGTGACCATTTATCTACATGGTTTGTTATATTTTAAAGGGTATTTGATTTTCAAGGTACTGTCATCTTCATATTGCCACGATGTCCTGGACATTGTGTATCCTTAGTTTTACAGTGGAAGAAACAGTTAAATGTGTTGTGTTGCATAATGCTGGTTCCTGCAATAACATAACTTCCTCAGAGTTATGTTTGGTAGCATTCAAAAGATAAAATGCCAGTCAGGATAAGCAATCATGATTTTAATACCAAAAGAGAAATCCCTATTTTTCTCTCTTAACATGGGTGTATGTTTTTATGTCACTTTTACTCTGAGTTTTTTCTCATCATTTTTATATCTTAAAAAAACTGTTATTCAGAAAACTACTGAAATTAATAGAACCAGTGTTTGGATAAGGTGTCCCATTTTATTGTAGGAGTTCAGATTATATCTTGCATTGGATTTTACTGTAGGGCAATAATAACTTTTCTCTGTATTGCCCTTATTAAAGTAAAGGAGTGGACTATATATCCAGAAGCTTTTCTCATTCAGTTGAATAACATAAAATGAAAACAGTGCTACAGAAGGGGGGTGACAGTTTTTTTTTGTAACACACAGGTAACTTTACTGCTACCAGTATTTGATGAAAATGAACAGTCTCAGGATGCTGTTTCATTGCATCAAGATATTAATGACTATAACCGGAGATTCTCAGGACAACCCAGATCTGTAAGTAACATTTATGACATTTTTTCTGACTAAAAAAATCTCGTCACTTATATGTGTTGGAGAAACTGTTATCAAACACTGAATTACAGCTTTTCCAAGGACTACAGATGTCTATGTTTAAAAAAAAAGATGCTTCAAAACGTCTGTCAAAGATTCTAGCATAAAAGCAACAAAGAAATTGAAGAGATAAAATTACAGACTCCTGTATAATCTGACATAAGGTTTGTCTTATGAAAAATTTTAAGACTAGAACTTATAGAGAATGTTTCACAGTTATTTTCTATTTTATTTATCCTGTTCCTCAGTTTGAAATGTTCCTCTTAGTAACCCCAGGTTTTGATAAATTATCTTAACTCTTCAAAAGCATTCCATTATTTTTAATTCAAATATAATTGACATACAACATTGTCATATTTTGAGGTATAGAACATGATTCAGTATTTGTGTTTGTGAAATGATAAACACAGTAAGTTAACATCAATTAGCACACAGCTGCACATTGTCTATTCTTAGGATGAAGCTTTTAAGTCTACTGTCCTTGCAATGTCTGTGTAATACGGCATCACTTGTCATGGTCACCGTGCTCTACATCCCCAGGACTCATTTTGTGCTTTTGACCACTTTCACATTATTCCAACAGTTTACCTTTGGCGACTACCAGTCTGTCTTGAGTTCACTTTAGTTTCTTTTTAGATGCCACATATAAAATCATATGGCTTTATTTTTTTCTGTCTCACTTTCACTTAGCACAGTGTCCTCAAGGTTCATCCATGTGGTTGCAGATGGCAAGGTTTCTTTTTATGGCTTAATAATATTCCTTTGTGTGGGGGAGTTATGTATGTACATATTTACTCCTCCATCAGTAGACATTTAAGTTGCTTAACCATATCTTGGCTATTGTGAATAGGCTGCAGTGAACATGGGGGTGCATTTGTCTTTTCAGTTAAGTGTTTTTGTTTTCTTCAGATAAATGCCCAAAATGGAATTGCTAGATCATATGATACTTCCATTTTTTTAATTTTTGAAGGAACTTCTGTACTGTTTTCCAAAGTAACCACACCAATTTAAATTTCTACCAACAGTACACAAGGGTTCACTTTTCTTCAATCCACATCCTCACCATCACTTTTCTCTTGGTTTTTTTATAATAGCCACTCTGACAGTATGAGGGTATATCTCATTCTGGTTTATATTTGCATTTCTCCAATTAGTAATCTTGAGCATTTCTTCATGTACTTTTAGGCCAGGTATATATTTTAAAAATCCTGTTTTTAAAGAGCACTCTGTAGTTGACCTCCTCCTTCCCCAAAAAGGCATCTGATAGGCCAAAACCAATCATATTTTGTTGGCTGTTCCAGTTTTCTTAGAATGTAAGTATTCTAGAAGCCAGGTGTATGGTTGAACATGTACTTCAAAAACTAAGTACCAACACTCAGACAGCAAGCTAGACTTTGTATATTCAGATGCTTTGTTTACAGCTCCACTTAGATATTCCACATACATCTCAAACTTGACATGCCTGACAAACATATAATGAACTGATTCCCTGCTTACCTGAGGTAACTCTTCTTTCTACTCAACTTCATTTTGATTTCTTCCTCTTAATTGTATCTCTTTTGAGGGGGATCCTGTCATTTTTACCTTATGAAAATATCCTGTGTGTGAATCTATTATATAGTCCAAGCCACTATCATCTCTTCTTTAGAACTACTGTTAAGAGCCTCTTAAAAGTTAAGACTTGTTCCGTCTGCATAGCAGCCAGAGCAGTATTTTGAAAACAAGGCCACTTGTCTACAATTTTTCAACTCCTTGCTGTGGTTTAAAAGGCCCTGCAAGAGTTGGTTTGACCCTAATGTGCCATTCTCCCTGGGCCTTCTCCCCCACGGTATGGCAGCTCCCGGAATATAATCCTCTACCTTTCCAGTCATTCTTTCACTCTTGACACTTCTGTTTGGTATGCTGCCTTCTGCTCTACCCATGGCTGACCTCTATCCTTTAGGTTGTTCTTAGATCTTCCTCAGAGAAATTTCTCCAATAAGCAGAGGTATTCTGTTACCCTCTGTATATGTCCTTCATAGCAAATTGCAAAAACAAATCTTGTTATTTTCTCTCAACATTGTTAATGTTTCATGAGGGAAACTTTATTTATTACTGTGTTCACAGTGCCAAATCCTGTACCTTGGATACAGTAAGGCCCTCAATGATTACTGAATATATTAATGAGTTAACCTTAAAATAACTGATACCAACTCTGCCAAGAATGCAAATTACTAACATTTCAGAATTATACAACTATGCTCTTGTGCTACCTTGCATGTATTCCTTGTTCTCTGTCTTCATCTGATTTTTTTTTTTTTTTAAGATTTATTTGTGTATACAGAACTGGGGTACAGGCCAGAGACTCAGGAGCGGTGAGAGGCTTCACCAGAGACAGAGTGGGGAACAGAACAGGCAG